GGATTTTTCGGACTGTGGAATATCAGAATACATGCAACTTGAGCATCCCTTATCTGAAAATTCAAAGTCAAAAGAAATCAGGCTTGGGATTTTCAGGTAAGGGGTGCTCATTCCATACTTTTCCACAACTGAAAGGCCTATCTGTCTTTCCTGTGTAATTTGTGAATCTTGGTTTTCCAAGCATAAGTCGAGGAAGTAGTACAAGATTGCAGCTGTTTGATGTTGTTCCCTAATTGTATTTTTTCCTAGAGACCTTCAGAGAAGTCATGGCTCCCGGGGAAGAGAACCCGAAGAGTACAAACAGAGTGCTACGAATAAGTCAGTTGGATGCGCTTGAGCTAAACAAGGCCCTGGAGCAGCTAGTGTGGTCCCAGTTTTCTCAGTGCTTTCATGGGTTTAAGCCAGGCCTGTTAGCCCGCTTTGAACCAGAAGTGAAAGCATTCTTGTGGCTTTTCTTGTGGCGATTCACCATCTACTCCAAAAATGCCACTGTGGGGCAGTCAGTTTTGAACATTCAGTACAAAAACGATTTTTCCTCGAACCTGAGGTATCAGCCACCAAGTAAAAACCAAAAGCTCTGGTATGCTGTTTGTACAATTGGTGGGAGGTGGTTAGAAGAACGATGCTATGATTTGTTTCGAAACCATCATTTAGCATCATTTGGGAAACTTAAGCAGTGTGTGAATTTGGTGGTTGGAATCTTGAAATTAGGTGGGTTGATTAATTTTTTAATTTTTCTTCAAAGAGGAAAGTTTGCAACTTTGACAGAACGTCTCCTAGGCATTCATTCTGTATTTTGCAAGCCCCAAAACATACGTGAAGTCGGCTTTGAGTATATGAATAGGGAACTTCTCTGGCATGGTTTTGCTGAGTTTCTGATTTTTCTCTTACCACTTATCAATATCCAGAAGTTGAAAGCCAAGTTATCTTCATGGTGTATCCCTCTTACTAGTGCCCCAAATAGTGACAATACATTAGCTACCAGTGGCAAAGAATGTTCTCTATGCGGAGAGTGGCCCACCATGCCTCACACCATAGGGTGTGAACATATCTTCTGTTACTACTGTGCTAAGAGTAGTTTCTTATTTGACATGTATTTTACGTGCCCTAAGTGTGGCACAGAGGTACACAGTGTACAGCCACTGAAATCAGGAATTGAGATGGCAGAAGTGAATGCTCTTTAAAAACTAAAATTGTTTCCCGAAGAAAATTTTTCATGCTTAAATCATTAATATTATTCATCCTAAGTATACCTTTTAGGTGACTTTTATAAGGCATGTGCTTCTCAGCCACTGTCTTCTGTCCCATTCTAGGCATGACTAATTTCT